TGGTTTTCCTTGGGGGCTTCCCTTGTTCTCCTTCGAGGATCTCGACACTCGGGGGATTTGGATTCTCTTCGACGCCCTTCCGTTGGTATATCGCGTCAAATTCCTCGAGGGCGGTGTCGAAGGCTGGGTATCTTTCTCTGAAAGCATCCCAAAATATGGTATCTCTGGTAGCATGCGAGCGTTCTTCGCGGGGGCTTTCGTAGCCCTCGGTCTCTTGGTAATTCTCCTGCTCTTGGACTTTCCACTTGCCCCGTTTCTTCTCGAGAAGGGCCAGGGTTCTGCGATCTTCTTTTTCGTCGATCAGATCTCCCAACTCTTGTTCTGTAGGGTCGGGTTGTCTAAGGAGACAACGCCGTCTAGTTTCTTCGAGGACATATCTCCGCATCCTTTGCTGTTGATCACTATCATCGCCCAGCTTCTTGAGTTGGGCCTCGATTTTGGCCAGTTTCTGGTCTTCCAAATGCTTGGCGGCAGTGGGGGTATATCGAGGGGGCGGTATATCCTCTTTTTCAGGTGGAAGATTGGTGTTGCTTTGTTTCTTTGGATCGGGCTGAGAAGCACCGAGGACCAAACGCTCCTTGGTTTGTTCTTTCCCAGGTTCTCCGTCGTGGCTTTTCCTGTCTTTCTTTTTTCTTGCCGGCGTTGGAATTCGGCCAGGGGAGTATCGTCTCCTAGACTACGCTGGTGGCCGGAGGAGGCCGTGCTTCCGGCGTCTTCTTCAACTCTGACCATCATGACGGTTGTTCTGGCAACCCCGATTGTTATGAAAAGATGTTAAGAAAACCTCAGGAGGTTTCTGCGACACAAATCCCAATTTACGGGTCCCACTGGACGTGCCACTTGATGATGCACGGATACGCGTCGCCGGTTTAACGGTGGAACTCCGGTTAGGGTTTCCTGCAAAACAGAGCCTTGGGGTCTCCCGAGGGTAGACACTCTGATACTTAGGTCAGTAAACGGGATTGCTAGAAAGCTTTTGGGAGGTAGTATGTTTGGCTTATTGATTGCGTACCTGAATTGCTGTATGAGCTACCTTATTTATAGGTATGTGATTACCCGAACCATTTCGAATCCTACTAGGTTTTAGGGATTCATACCGTCCTAAGAGTCCCAGTTGGATTCTTCTTGTGGTGAGTGGGCCGGTACAATCTCGGTCATAGATCTGGACTCGTCATTATGTACTTCTGTTTCAAGTAAATTTCATGATCAAGTTTTTATAATTTTTTCGTTGCGAAATAATTGTTCAATTTGAATTTTCATTTTAATGTAAATCAAATTAAAAATGAAGATTTAAATTGAAAAATCATTTTCAAGAGAAAATCACTTAAATGTAACTATGCATGCGAAAGCTTTGGGCAAGGGCGTCCATCACACTCACCAAAAAAAAATAGGGAGAATTCCTGTAAAGGGCGTTCTAAAGATCAAAATTATTATAAAGGGCATTAATTATATTTATTCATTATTATGTTCTTTTATTCATTTATCTCACTTCAATTGGCTGTTTTAGCCTTATGAATTTATCACTCTTCAATACTTATCTCCTTCGTGAAACCAAACTAATTTGACAACCTTGCGCCCAACAGAATATTCAAACTGCAAAGGTTCCAATTCTTGTAATTCTACATTTTTCCCTCACGTTTTGGTTGCCGATAAGCATCTAAGAACCGATGATTATTTTTGTGCTAAAAGTTAATTAAATAAGATGACTTGGTATTGGAAAAATAAAAAATAGAAACATAAGATAATAAAGGTTTTTTTGAGTGCGCGAAGAAGAAAGCAAAATACGAAGAAAAGATGTCAAAATGGTTGAATTTGGAGAATATAGTGCAGGCCCTGCCAGAGTTTTGGGAAGAAGAACGAAGAATCTATTCAATCTTTTAATTGAATGGAGGGCGTAAGGTTAGAGAAGAAGGACATGCCAGTCTTTTAAACATTATAAAAGTATTTTATACTAAAATAAATTATCCATGCCCTACATAATAAATAAAAATTTTCTTATGCCCTTAATCTAAATTTCCCCAAAAAAATAAAAATGCTTCATTAACTAACAAGGATGTCATAAATGGGCTTCAATCATACCGTGGTGGTAATATCCTAGCAAGAAAAAGGGCGTTTTTTCCTTTTGGACTAAGAAGTGATTTTCAACCCAATTTAAGGCCCAAAAAACCTACAACTGTAGTCCCAACTTCAATCCTTGATGGCATGATCTACAATCCTACATTATATTTACGTGCGAAAATGGTCTTCTTCTTCTTTTTCTTTTTTTTTTTTTTTGAGAGAAAATGGTCTTCTTTTATGAATTACCATTTCTGTCCACAGTTATAGTGTACTGTTTTTTGGAAAATAGTTATAGTGTAGTGTTGTTTATTTGAAGAACGAGACTTTCAACAAATACAATGATTTATATATCATTTTAGGTTCTTCCTTCCTTTAGCTAATTCTTTTGTATAGAGAGTTATGACAGATGACAATTTTGGGTGCCTGATTTAATCCATTACGTACACACCGAATTCGCAACTTTTTTTTAGTTCAATAGTTACTGCCAGAGTTAATGATTTTAGGCCAAAAATATTTACTCTCTCCGTTCGGAAAAGTGCAATTTGAAGAACTAAAGTTTGTAAACGGAACGACTTAATTTTTGAAATTGAATCGAGTATCATATATATTCATTAAATTGTATCAATTTTTAGATGATATAAACCTCATAAGTGAGATTTAATTTCTAAATTTATACTATTTTCTTAGAATGAAGATAATGTTAAGGAAAAAACAATTCACACTTAAAATGCGGAATTTAATTTTGTTTATTGAAGACTAATTAAGGACGGCAATTAGTCCATTTTAAAGCAGTAAATTTTATTTTAGTCTGTATAAACATACTCCTCCCAAAATAGTTATTCTATTTATAATTTTATTTTTAATACAATTAATACTTAAAGTAAAAAATTTAAATTAAATAATTATTTTGAACGGAAAGGAGTGCTGAGCAAGCTTAGGGCACGATCAAACTTAGTAAAAATCAACTCGAGGGCAGTAAATAATTTCATTAAATTTATAAGTATTTTTGTTTGTCCTATGTATTTGAGTTGAAAATATTTTTTTGTTTTTTTTTTTTGCATCAAAAAAATAAAATAAAATGCAAATATGAATTCTGATTTTTTGGTTTATTACAATGCAAGGAATTACATGCCTGATAAATATGATTTCCATTGCAATTTGATCCGGAAACGAGGAAAATTCAAGCTCAACTTCAACTCTTCCGCACTATCTCCCTCACATTTTGAAGATATTTTCTCTCAAAATAACTCAGCCGCAAGCTCCAAAAAAAAAAAACTAAACCCTGTTGCAACTGAATTTAATTTTTCTCCTCGAACACAAGTCTCACTTCTCCAAGTTCTACTCCCTATATCAGACCTGGATACTCGAAAACAATACTCAAAAGATGATATGGAAGTAGGAAAAAGTATAGAATCTTCCAATACAATCTTTGCGATTGAACAAATTCATTCTGACGAAGAACAACAACATCCCTTTAATGATTCAGAAGATAAAGAATTTGACACGGAACGAGAATTGGAACGAGAGTCTTTCTACTGTGAAATTTCTCCTCCGCCATATCATAATCGTTTGAAGAAAAGTAAGACTAAATATAAAGTTTGAGTTTGTCGATCATCTAGATTAAATAAGGATGCAAAATTTTTTTAAGTTAGAAAATGCACTTAATATAGAATTTAGTATATTCGCTGTTTTATTTTTTTCTTTATAATTGATAAAATTATTTTTTGATTAAAAAAAAAGATAAAAGACCTCGATTATGTCATGATCAAATGATATCCTCGCACTTACCGGTGAAATGTCTAGACAACTGTGTGTTTTTATAAGTAACAATGACAAATAATCAGTTATAAAATTCGACTCAGAACTCATATTACAGCACTACCATCATTTCCCGTCTGAGGAGCTATCGAATGCCCCTAACAATGTCAGTGTGAATCCCAAACATTTCCTCTGTACTATTCACTATTACAATAATACTCTAATTATTCATTTATGCCACGATTTTTTTTAAAATTTTTGAACCCAATTGCTATATAAGCGTAATACCTAAAATAAACCCCCACAATTTAGACTCTATAATAGAACAAAAACCAATATTCATCATAAAACTATTTAATTACATGCCTTAACAATCTCTAGCCACACCCCTACTCTAGCCGGATGAGCGATTGACAATGTGACACAACCATCTGAGCTACCTTTTATCCAACAAGGAGATGAATTCTGATCTCGATTAAGCAGTGAATATCACGTAGTTTACCTAATGTGATGTGCTTGATTATTGAATTAAATTATTTTTAAAAATAATTATTAATTCACCGAAGGATCAATTAATATTCTATTAATTCAGCTGTACCTTGTCTCAAAAAGAAAAATAAAAAATGAATTATATATTTTAGCTGTACCACTTGCATAAAGCCATGTGAACCAGACCTCATCCACATTATTCCAATCACGCAGATCTATTGGCCAAAAGATCTTTTCTTTCCGGCAAGTAAAATAATTACCCACATTGGTCCCTGAACTCTACTTATGTTGATATTATCGTCCTCATGATATTTTCGGTTGCACTCATTAATTCAACATTTTTAAATATAATCTTACTTTTAGTTCAGTGACCTAAAATTAATGTCGTTTTGCATATGGTTAACTTTTGTGAAGAGAAATATGGGGCAAAAGAATTTCATTAAAGTTTTGAGGGTAAAACGAAAAAATCTAGAGAAATTATTCATTCTGGTGTTATTCTTCAGACAAATTTTCTGAAAAGTTTGAATATGCTCCTTTAAGAATTAAATTTTTTAATATCCATTAAATTTTATTGCTCTTTAATTAGTACATTAAATTGGTCACCAATTAAGTGAGAAAGTGATAGGCAAATTTAGCAAAGTAGCTTATAAAATCAATGTCATACAAGAGACGAACAATTAACTTTAACTAATTTTCTTGGTTTCAGTGAATTAGTTCAAATTATATACATTTCACATCACGTAGTGGTTTGAATTTTTTTGGGGGTCATAACTTATAAATGCAATACAAATGGTAATAACTAATAAGAGTCCAAATTAACAATATACAAAAGTTTGAGGATCAAAAGGAAAGCGTGTGTTGATAATAAGGCTATATTTGTTATTGCAAGAAGAGAAAACTTTCCACATTTTGCTCAAACATGTTCCATCTTCAAGTTAGCAAGAGGTTTCTGCCTATACTGAAATCCAAAAAGCAGAGTACCCATGAAAACCCAAACTCCACCGGCAATATGGTCAAATCTTCATCCGTCATTCGCCTCCTATTCTTGCTCTTCATAACAGTTTCGATCCAAGCCCTTTTCATTGTACTGAAGATTCGAGATTCCGGCGGCCGTGGATCTCAGCAGCAGCTGCAGAGGTCGGCGGGAAACTTTCCGGCTGAGCGCAAAGGATGCGAGAACGGCTTGGTTTATATGTACGAACTTCCTCCGATGTTCAACAAGGAGCTGCTAGACAAGTGCGATGAGTTGGATCCTTGGGGTTCCCGGTGTCCGGCGGTTTCCAACAACGGGCTTGGCCCGAGAGCGACCAACCTCGCCGGAGTTGTGCCGGCGAATCTCACCCCGGCTTGGTATCAGACCGACAAGTACACTTCTGAGGTGATTTATCACGCCAGGATGATGGATTATGAATGCCGGACGGAGGTGCTGGAAGAGGCCACCGCGTTTTACGTTCCGTTTTATCCCGGATTGGCAATCTGGAAGTACTTGAACTCCAATTACACGGCGAAAGACCGGGACCGGCCCGCCGAGATGTTGCTGGATTGGCTTCAGAGTCAGCCCTCTTGGAGGAAGCGAAACGGGGCGGATCACTTCTTGGTTCTGGGAAGATTAACTTGGGATTTTCGCCGGAGTCAGGATTCCGACTGGGGATCTAGTCTAATTTACATGCCGGCGATGCAAAACGTGATGAAAATCGCCGTGGAAAGGTACCCCTGGGATGAACTGGAATTCAGTGTTCCGTATCCGACAGCATTTCATCCTAGATCCAGATCCGATATTGAAGAATGGCAAAGGTATATCCGATCCAGGACCCGAAAAAGCTTGTTCAGCATCGTGGGCAAGCCCCGGAAGAACGATTTTGGAAGTCTCCTAATGGACAATTGCAAGACTGAATCCAGATCTTGCAAATTCGTCGATTGTTCAGTGAAGAGATGCTCGGGAACAGAACCGGGGGTTTTGGAAACGTATCTGGATTCGAATTTTTGCTTGCAGCCAAAAGGAGATACTTCAACTAAGAGGGCATTCTTTGATTGTATGGTGGCTGGTTCAATCCCTGTTTTCTTCTCGGAGTTCAGCTTCAATGGTCAGTATGAGTGGCATTTGCCATTGATTGGTGAGAGTTACTCTGTGTTCATTGACTCTAAAGATGTGGAAAGTGGTAAAGTTTCGATTAGAAATAGGCTTGAGGAGATTAGTGAAGAGAAGGTTAGGAAAATGAGGGAAACCATCATTGAATTCCTGCCCAAAATTTTGTATGCAGAATCTAAACAGGGTTTAGGTAACCTTAAAGATGCTTTCGAAATTACCATTGAAAGAGTAGTGAAAAAGGTACGATGGGAATTGAAAAAGAAGCCATCTTTGTTGTTGTAGTAGTTTGTGAGAGTTTTGAGAGTTACCCCCAGTAAAAAATAACTGGAATTCTTTGAAGAAAGTGATTTTTACAACATTCTTTGTTTTCCTTTCACTGTTGTTGTGTTATTAATGTGCGTCTGCTATCATCATTATTATTTCGCTGTCTTTCTTTTCTTTTGGGACATTTACTCATTACTCTCCATTCAATTTGTGATTCTCGCTTTCCTCCTCTTATAAACTGGGGTTTTTTGTTTTCGAAAAAAATATTTTAATACCAAGAGTAGGACGTCAAAAGATCGTTTTACATGATTTTTTTTTTAAAAATCGTAAGCTGGCTATCTTTTGATTCGAAGTGTTGGAGGAAGGTTCTACAATGGACACAAATAGGTCATCTTCCTCATAAAATTTTGTGTTTGTCCCGAAAAAGAAAATGGTTCTAATAAAATACTACCAGTAATGGTTTCCCACGTACAAATGGTTGACAACTTTTTTAGCTTTTCGAAAAAAAAAATGAGGGTATACTTGAAAATCAATATGTAAAACCCACGAATTTGATCATAGATCTTTGTAGGACCTCACCGACAATTATTTTTATTTTTAAAATATTTCTTTGGGAAATGGCCTCACCGACAGAAACACTTGCTCGTGGTCATGGGCAAGCCCGCAAATTATTTTCCCTTCCTTCCATTGTTTTTCTCCGAGTTCATATTCTCTCTAAATACAAACTAGATTACTTTTGTGAGATATAGAAAATACCAATAAAAATTAGGTTACAAAAAGGCCTACTTAAATAATGGCCCAAGAGTTTCGTCTACAATATCACTAGCACGCTAATTGATTTAGTCCAGTTTGAGTATGCAGGTCAGTTATATAATTCATTTTTTCCGTTTTTTTGGGTTTACAACTATAATTCTCCTCATAAGATAGTGTAATGCTCTGGTAATTTAAAGATTAAAACAGGGATTAATTCGATACATCAGGAAGATGAAGCGGAAAATTAGGGTTCGTAGCACAGAAGAAGAAAAGGGGATCTGAAATTTTACTAAAACCAATTCCACATACTCCCTCCATTCACAAATAGATGTCGTTGTAGGAAAACTCAAATATTCCAAAATAGACGTCGTTCTCACAAATCGAGGCATATTTTGTCAATTTTTTCCAATATCACCCTTACATTGGAAATTGTTGTGATGTTTAATGTAGAATTGTATTAGAAGTGAATTTTATTGGGACTACAATTGAATTAAGAATAAATGAGGGTATTATAGTATTTTAACAAGATAATTATTGTCTCCTTAAACTTTGTGAAATCTCTCCAGCGACATCTATTTGTGAATGGAGGGAGTATAACTATTCCATAATAATAATTTAGCCCCAACAAGACTATATATAGTCTGGTAGTTGGCATATTTACATATCAGCCCTTAACCTATTAAATTAAAGTAATTGAGTCCCTGGATTATGAGAATCCATGACAAACCCCCACACTAAAAACAGTGTTGTCCTCAACACTATTTTTACAAGTTACAACTCAAACTGAAAAGTAAAACTGACATAAAGCTTACTACTAAGCAGACACTACCCATAAGATATAGCCAATGAAACAAAACTAAACAACAAAATTGTTCGCATAAATAACTACTATTCAAACCAAACAGACTCCAAAAGGAACACCATTTCAGCAACTCAAAAAATGCAGCATCCTGGATAAACCTCAGAATCTGCCCGCTTGGAAGCATTAACCACCATGAGATAGCTTGCTCAGCTCTACCATTTCGCCGTCAATAGTCCACAGTGCGTTTCCAGAGACATTTGCCTTGGCTAATTCTTCACCCAGCATCACATTTACCTGTCCGAACTTGCAAACATGTCCAGGCTTGTAGCATTCACTACACCTATAACACAAGCCGTTGTTGGCTCGGTACTGAAATTCTTGGGGTAACATTTTCTTGAAGTAACGGTTACCAGGGCCCTTATAGCCATTCATTTTAAGTCCATTCCCATTCTTAGCCTCAAACACACTTTCTTTGTCCTTAACCAACTTATCAGCTGACTGATCATTTCCCTTTTTCCCCTTGTTTCCTACCGGAGACTCACTACCACCCCTCAAACTGCCAGGGGGAACTAACAGGTGATTCTGTCTGACCAGAATCCGGCGAACCCAAATTACCACTAAAAGACAGAGATTGCTCCTGATAAAGCGCAATTTCAAAAGCAGTAGCGATGTTCTTAGGGTGCAACATTATAACAGCCGGTTTCAATTCAACTTTCAAACCACTAATGAGACAGGACACATAATAATTATCATCAAAATTATAACCTAACAGCAACAACCTTGAACGAAGTTCTTCAAAACGTTCCTGGTACTCAGTTACACTTCCAGACTGCACTAGTTTACTAAATTCCTCAACACAATCCTGGCCATTACTATTACCAAAATGCTTAACCAAAGCTTCAGAAAATTCAATCCATGAGGGCTTACCATAGGCAGTCTTGACACCCTGGAACCACGTATCTGCCTTTCCATCGAGAAACAGCTCCACAGAATCCACCATCTCTGCCTCCGGGATGTGATGCATCTGACTTACGGCAGTTGCGCAACCAATTCTGTGGTTTGTCGCCAGAAAACACCGGTAAATCCAGTCGGGGATGCTGGTACCACCGATAATTCTGGTGTCCCCAAGGGTTGTTATCACCCTGGGACCCTCCCGGAGTGATGAAAAATGGTGGAAGACCGTCACCAGACGAGTTGCCGATGCGTGTGTGGTTGTTCTGTTCCATGCGCACGACGTTTACTGGGGAGCGTCTGTTTCCCTTCTCCATGGCCGCTTTGAACGTGGCTCGAGTGTTCTCAGCCCGACTTGTGCAAACGGCGGCCGGTAAGGTGCAGGGGGCGTCGGCGATGAAACTTCGGACATCGGCGCCTTCTCCGGGTTGTGTGGCATCATCGACTGAAATGACTCCATCATCTTGTCGACTTTGGCGTCACGATCTGCCATTCGTCACGGACAGTTTTTCTTCCCCACGAATTCGGGTGGTTTGCTGCGAAACAGGCTATTTTCGTAGACGGACATGGGACGGAACGGTCTAGAGCCTTGTGGAATTCTCCGGTCAAATCTTGAAGACTCTGGAATTCTCTAGAGAGGCCCAGAACTCTCTAGAAACGGGTAGAACTGTGTGGAAGCTACCCGAGTTTGCTAGAACCAAGTGGAGGATTCTAGAGACTTGTAGATATTTTGGACTTAGAATATTTTATGGTAGGAATTCTCTAGAATTTCATTATTTTATTATGTACATAGAATTCTCTAGAATTCTTTGGGACTTGGGGTTTGTCTATAAATACCCCATGCCCCCTTCATTTGTAATCCATCCAAGCTTTGAGTAGAGTTCTCAAGCATTCCTTAAGTTCTCTTGTGCCTTCATAGTTCTTTCACTTTCAACCTTTCTTAAGTTTTTCTTTGCCTCCATTCTTTAAAAGCCTTGCCTAGCTTTGCACGCTTTGGGGGTCTTAAAGCTGAGCTAGCACTTGATCGTTAGTTGTTTTGTGCTAGTGCCGCACGGCCGTTACTTTGAAAAAGTAAGCCCGTGACAGTTGGTATCAGAGCCTCGACTCGATACTTGGTGTGCTACATCGTCTACGCTTCCGTTTGTTGGTTTTCTTTCATGCATAAGCTATGTCCAACCCTTCAGAGGTCGTTCAAGGGTCGGAGCTTGAGGGGGATCACGTTTCTCGTGAGGTGGGGAGGACCACCAGCAAAGGAAGCCGCAAGGAGAAGTCGGTCGTTAGGGAGCCTACGGTGGAATTCGAGAAACGGCTTGCCAAGCTAGAGCTTGTTGTGGCCGACCACCAAGACCGTTGGGACGAGCACCCTGAGGTGGTAGCAGGGGTCGTCGAAGCTCGCATGGAGCGATTCGTAGGGGAATTGCAAGAGGTCATGTAGCAAATGAAGGACGACATGCTAGGGACGCTCAACGAAATGGTGGAACGTTGCAACAAGTCGAAGGAGGAAAGCCTTGCTCGTGTTGCCGCCCTCCAAGACGACGTCAACCGGCTTATGGGGAAGCTGGAGACTTCTTGGGCAGAATCGGCGCATCTTAAGGCACGGCTTGACGCTGTGGCCGTGTAAGGGACAACCGGAGCCGTGGGGACGGTTCCAAGGCTTGAAGCGCCCAAGCCGGACGAATACAAGGGCAGCCGTCGTTTGAGGGGCGTAGAAAACTTTCTCTACAGTATGGAACAGTACTTTGGGGCTATGAATATCATGGACGACTCGGTAAGACTCTTCCAAGCCTCTCTTTATCTTAAAGATAGTGCTTTATCATGGTGGAAACGTATGATGAAACCCGTGGGGGACGGAGACCCGGTCTTCACCACGTGGGATGGTTTTAAGGAAGAGTTTAGAAAGTATATCCTACCCGTGGATGCGGAAGGCGAAGCCCGGGCCAAGCTTCGTCGTGTGCACCATAGGGAAGGCCAAATCCGGGAGTACGTTAAGGAATTTTCGGACTTGATGCTTGAAATTCTGGATCTCTCGCCCAAGGAGGCGTTCTTTACTTTCATGGACGGTCTCAACCGTTGGGCCAAACTTGAGCTACAACGGAGAGAAGTCCAGGATATCGATCGGGCGTTAAAGGTGGCCGAGTCGCTTGTTGAGTTCCAAAAGAAGGATAGCTCCAAGGACAAGGGCAAGAAGCCGTTCCAAGGCAAAGGCGGGGGAGACAAAGGGAAGTCTTCCACACCCGTGAAATTGGCAGCCGACTCCACAAAGCCGTCTGCGAGCAAAGATACCAAGGGGGACAAGCCAAAGAAGTTTCAAGGGTGCTTCTTGTGCGGGGGAGTGCACATGGCACGTGATTGCCCGTCTCGTTCGAAGTTGGCAGCATTGGCACAAGGTTTGTGCCAAGAAGAGGAGAAACGGGTCGCTTGCATGAAACGGCCAGACGCCGTGCATGCCAAGGCCGAGACACATCAAGGTCATCTTTACATGGAGGCATCGTTCACAAACAGGTCTAGATGGGGCATGCTAGACACGGGGGCTGATACGAGTTATCTCACAGAAGAGGTAGCCCGTATGCTTGGAGTCAAGTGGACACCTAGCAAAGGCCGTTTCAAGGGTGTGAACGGCGAATGGACAGGTCTTGTGGGCGAAGCAAGAGACGTGCCTCTTAAAATCGGGAACTGGTCAGGTACGGCTAATTTCTCCATTGCACCTATGGATGATTATGGTCTTGTGTTTGGCATGGAGTTTGTAGACCAGGTGAGGCTGATCATCGTGCCTAGCAACAACACAATGGTGATCCTCCAAGGCGAGAAGCCTTGTGTGGTAAAGTTTAGACGGGAAAATGAGATTAGCCCTTCCTAGCTGAACAAGGGGCTAAAACGGGGTGAACACATCTTTGCCACCATGGTGTTTGAGGAGGAACCATGCACAGAGGAGCCGGCAAAGGAAGAACGAATCCCGCCTCCCATAGAACGAGTCCTTGGTGAGTTCAAGGACGTGATGCCCGACGATTTGCCCAAAGGTCTTCCACCAAGGAGGGAGGTTGATCATGCCATCGAGTTGGTGGACGGGGCGAAACCGATAGCCAAGGTGCCTTATCGTATGTCCCCTAGCGAGCTAGAGGAACTCAAGGTGCAAATCAAGGAGCTACTTGAATCAGGTCATGCAAGGCCGTCTAAAAGTCCGTGGGGTTCGCCGGCCTTGTTCCAACACAAGAAAGATGGGACGCTACGTTTGTGCATCGACTATCGGATGTTAAACAAGCTAACCGTGAAGAACAAGTACCCTATCCCACTTATAGCGGACTTGTTCGACCGACTGCAACGGGCACGGATCTTTTCCAAGCTAGACTTGCGGAAGGGATACTACCAAGTACGCATAGTACCCGGTGATGAACCAAAAACGGCCATGGTGATGAGGTATAGCTCTTATGAGTTTCTTGTTATGCCGTTCGGCTTAACTAACGCCCCAGCCACGTTTTGCACTCTGATGCAACGTGTGCTAGCGGATTTCATTGATAAGTTCGTTGTAGTATACTTGGACGACATCATTATCTATATTAACACAATGAAGGAGCATGTGGAGCATCTTAGAGCCGTTTTTCAAGTCCTTAGGGAAAACCAGCTCTATGTTAAAAGGGAGAAGTGTTCCTTCGGCCTTGAGGAGGTGTCGTTCTTGGGACACATCATTGGTGGGGGCAAAATCCGCATGGATCCGGCCAAAATCAAAGCTATCGTGGAGTGGGAGGCACCCACGAAGCCAACGGAGCTGAGATCGTTCTTGGGGCTTGTTAATTACTATCGGCGGTTTATTGAAGGGCACTCCGCCATAGCCGCTCCACTAACGGATCTCTTGAAAAAGGGGCAAGGTTGGTGTTGGACACCAAAACACCAAACGGCGTTCGAGGCTTTAAAGGACGCCGTCACTCGAGAGCCAGTCCTAGCTCTCCCTGATTTTGAGAAACCGTTCGAGGTGTGCACGGATGCTTCGGACTTCGCCATTGGGGGCGTTCTTATGCAAGATGGTCACCCGATCGCCTTTGAAAGTCGCAAGTTGAACGAGACCGAGAAAAGGTGGCCGACGCACGAGAAGGAGATGTTGGCTATAGTTCACCGCCTTAGAGTTTGGGAGCACTACCTAAAGGCCGCCACACCGTTCAAGATCAAGACGGACAATCGGGCAGTGAGCTACCATCAAAGCCAACCTAAGCTTTCAAGCAAGCAAGCACGTTGGTTGGACTTCTTGGCCGAGTTTAAATACGAGCTTGAGTTTAGCCCGGGGAAGACTAACCACGTGGCCGACTCCCTAAGCCGAAAGGCGTGTCTTGCTCCAATCGTTAGCATACCTGAGGGGACGCTGGTTGATCGCATCAAGAAGGGTCTTGAGCACGACCGTCAAGCCCAAAGGTTCATGGAGCTCGTGAAGGAAGGCAAGACAACGCAGTTCTGGCTTGAGAATGGGATACTTTATGCCAAAGGGAACCGTTTGTACGTGCCCGCATGGGATGGACTTAGAAGGGAGATTCAAAGGGATTGCCATGATAGCCGTTATGTGGGTCACCCAGGTACACATCGCACACTTGCCTTAGTACATGAACGGTTCTATTGGCCTCGCATGCGGGAGGACGTGGAGACATATGTAAGGACTTGTCTTGTCTGCCAACAAGACAAGACCGAGCAAGACCACCCGCATGGCTTGTTATCACCCTTGCCTATTCCGGAACGCCCGTGGGACAGCGTTTCGATGGATTTCATCGTGAGCCTGCCCGTTTCCGAGGGTTGCACCAACATACTTGTTGTGGTAGACCGTTTGTCTAAGTATGGGGTCTTCATACCCGCCCCAAAAGAGTGCACCGCGGAGATAACGGCCAAACTCTTTCTTAGGCATGTGGTGAAGTATTGGGGGCTGCCTACATCGATCATAAGCGACAGGGACTCAAGGTTCACCGGCCGTTTTTGGCAAGAACTCTTTCGTTTGCTTGGGACGGAGCTCAAGATGTCTACATCTTTGCACCCGCAAACGGATGGGCAGACAGAGTGCATCAACGGCCTCTTGGAGGTGTACCTTAGGCACTATATGGCAGCCAACCAGAAAGATTGGGTACGGTTGCTAGATGTTGCCCAATTTTCCTATAACTTGATGCGGAGTGAGAGCACGGGCAAAAGTCCGTTTGAGATTATCCTTGGTTTCCAACCGACTATGCCTAAGGACATTCTTGGGGGCTACAAGGGCAATAGCCCACTCACATACAAGTTTGCCAAAGATTGGCAAGAACAGGCCGACGAGGCAAAACTCTACTTGGAGAAGTCGGCTGCGCGCATGAAGAAATGGGCGGATAAGAAACGGACCCGTCGCGAGTTTGAAGAAGGCGATCAAGTCTTGGTGAAGCTTTATGAGCATGGACGGAGCCGTGGTCTATACAAGGGTCTCATGCACAGATACGAGGGTCCTTTCACCGTTCTTAAGAAAGTGGGTTCGGTTGCTTACAAGCTGGAACTACCCGAGGCCTTTTCAAGGCTTCATCCAGTCTTTCATGTGAGCCTACTTAAGCCATACCGCAAGGACCCAGAGGACGAAGAACGGAACGTTTCCTCAAGGGCACCAGATGGCGTACGCGAGCACGAGGAACAGACCGCAGAGGACATCCTTTCTAAGAAGATCGTTCGAGGCAAGAGCGGGGCAGCGACTAAAGAATACTTGGTGAAATGGAAGAATTTGCCAATGAGTGAGACGAGTTGGGAGCCAATCGAGAAGCTTTGGCAATTCACCAAATTGATCGATGACTTTGAGGAGAATCGTGCACCCGTTCCTATCAACATTGCCTTCGAGACTTAGGTGCATCGGGGCGATGCACCGTTTTGGTGGGGGAGGATGTCACGGACAGTTTTTCTTCCCCACGAATTCGGGTGGTTTGTTGCGAAACAGGCTATTTTCGTAGGCGGACATGGGACGGAACGGTCTAGAGCCTTGTGGAATTCTCCGGTTAAATCTTGAAGACTCTGGAATTCTCTAGAGAGGCCCAGAACTCTCTAAAAACGGGTAGAACCGTGTGGAAGCTACCCGAGTTTGCTAGAACCATGTGGAGGATTCTAGAGACTTGTAGATATTTTGGACTTAGAATATTTTATGGTAGGAATTCTCTAGAATTCCATTATTTTATTATGTACATAGAATTCTCTAGAATTCTTTGGGACTTGGGGTTTGCCTATAAATACCCCATGCCCCCTTCATTTGTAATCCATCCAAGCTTTGAGTAGAGTTCTCAAGCATTCCTTAAGCTCTCTTGTGCCTTCATTGTTCTTTCACTTTCAACCTTTCTTAAGTTTTTCTTTGCCTCCGTTCTTTAAAGCCTTGCCTAGCTTTGCACGCTTTGGGGTCTTAAGGCTGAGCTAGCACTTGATCGTTAGTTGTTTTGTGCTAGTGTCGCACGGCCGTTACTTTGAAAAAGTAAGCCCGTGACACATTGATGCCACTAACAGATCGAACTTCGACTCCAAGGACACCATACGCGATTCAAGGCCCTCGAAACGAGAAGTGTTGGCGTCGTTGTTGATTCCTTCACTGATTCATCAACAGCAGCCCTAGCAGGCGTCATTTTTGTCACTGGAATTGGATTTGTTGAAAGGGAAGACAAAATCGAGACTGGGGAAGATGAAGGTTTCGACGGAGAAGAAATTTAGTTCTAAAAATAATCAGAGAAGGAGAAAGTAAAGCGGAAGAAATGGAGATTTGAAACCGTCACCGCCGAGAATCGACGGCTCTGGATACCAAATGTAATGCTCTGGTAATTTAAAGATTAAAACAGGGATTAATTCGATGACATCAAGAAGATGAAGGGGAAAATTAGGGTTTGTAGCACAAAAGAATAAAAGGGGATCTGAAATTTTACTAAAACCAATTCCACATATAACTATTCCATAATAATAATTGAGCCCCAACAAGACTATATATAGTCTGGTAGTTGGCATATTTACATATCAGCCCTTAACCTATTAAATTAAAGTAATTGAGTCCCTGGATTATGAGAATCCATGACAGATAGCCTTAATTGTTGATAATTGATCCAAAACACTGTCATAATGGGACGGAGTAATATACCGTCCGCGTTCAAAAGTAAAGCAAAGTATGTGCACAATTACATGTCAAAGCCCAAAGGCGAATGAATGGATCCATTTATGGATAAACAACAGCTGAAGTCGCTATGGATTGATTAATATCAAGTTCAACTAAAGAAAACGGACCCAATCTTATAAGTCCTTTGGCAGCTTAACTTAATTAATAATCAATCATTTTATAGGATCCATCGTTTTATACAAATGTTTTTTTTTTTTTTCCTTTTTTTCCCCTCAAAATAAACTTCCGAAGAAAGGCAGAAAACGTTACAGGTATTCGAAACATACCCACCCCCAATTAACTCTCCCAAGGGAAGAAACCTTCTATTGATACAACATGTCCGCCGCAGGCAGACCCTCATCATCATGAAAAATTTTAAGGCAGCTGAAAGCAGATTCAAATCAGATGACACAATAAATAGAGAAGGCAATTGATGCTCCTTACTCTTAGAGAACCATGACGGCATAAAAAGAAGACGGGTCTTCAGGCAGTCAACCATTTTAAACGTGATTCTCTTGTGCATGCCTTTTGTGATCCCTTTCAGAATAACCAAGCCTACCAATCCGATTCCGATCTTCAGGATAGTCATGGTGGCTATGGTTATGCGATCCCATGTAATCATGCTGCCGTTGTTTTCCCTCTACTAACTTGTCAGTAGGACTGCCAGCTTTACGCTTGCGATTATTCGACTTTGGAGACTGATATCCCCGGTCAGCATTATCAAACGGTTCTAGTTCTCCTTCCTCCACGTTATCAAAATCTTCTCCATGCGAGAACTGCCCCTTCGTTAATGAGTTATGCCCATCTCCTGCCTCATCAGGATGCTTGAATTGATGCGAACTCTCGTGATGCTCCAGCCTGTTTGAAGTACGTTTGGACAAACTTTGTTCTCTTTCCGACTTGATCTTTTCATTCTCAGTAGCTAATTCAATACCATCTTCCAATTCTCTTTCTATCAGGTCATCATCATCCATAACATCAAATTTTCGAGATATATCTGGACGTGACTTCCTTCTTTTCTCAATTTGAGCCTTCAACTTGTTCTTGTCCAACTTCGGGCCTTGCTGAGGTGACTGGCCAACCGAACCATCCTTGTTTTCTGAAATACGACCATGAGATTTGTCTTTTTGTTGCTCCCCTGTATCCCTATTTTCAATCCTACCATCGCTCTTTTCTTCATATTCATCTTTATGGCCCCCCGATGCATATCTGAATGAATTTGCTGCCTCTCCAGTATTAGGATAAGGCTCTTGTTCATGGCGCTGGTTGTCAATGAGCTCACCGTCCCCCTTAAAATCTGAATGGTTATGCGCTTCAGAACTTCCATAATCATTACTTCGATTCTGAGTAGACCTTGCAGTACCAAGATGATTATCAGGATGTGATTGATCGGCAGTGACCCTAGAAGCTGACTTCGATAATCCAGGCTTAGCAGAAGCAACACCACCCTGAGAATGAGAATGGTTTGTGCTGCTCTCTTCATTGGTACCAGGAGCTTTTGGTGGAGGCCGCGGAGTGCCTCCAGCACTGCCTTCAGCTTCGCTAGCCTGAGAAGGTGGCACTCTGTTTTGCTCATACAGTTCCAGCATTTGATTGCTAACCTCTGCAAGAAATAAATGTTCCATGACCATGAGAAAAAACAAGCGAATAACATATGATTTATGACTTAACTATCCTGTCGTAAATGCCACAACATTCCCCCTTCTTTCTTTGCCCACCACGTGTTTTTCTTTTCTTTAAAAGTTTCAATCCAAAATTGATAAACTATCATATATTTAGTCAAAAAGAGAAAAAGTTTCAATCCAAAAATGACAAACTATCATATATTTAGTCAAAAAGAGACACTTTTTTACTAATTTTTAGTCTATTTTGATCCTTCACGACAAGAATTTGTATGTTTACCCAGTACCACAAATTTCTCAGACCTAGAAGACCACTAGTCAAAGTAAGGCAAAACACCGACCCTCCAATTGGCGTGGAGTGACATCAAACTCTTGCCACCAAACCTTCTCGCCATCAGATGGGAGCTTTACTTTGAGGAACTTTGCAGCAAGAAAAATGGCACCTGCTGCAATATGGTGGGGCTTAAATTGCAAGCATAAAGACGTCCGAAGCCTGCATGCCGCTTTCCCCGGTCAAAAAGAAGAATGGCCAAGGAGGGGACGCATTTTCACAAAAATACATAAAACTATAAGCATACCCATCATTCACGAAGTTCCAAGCCACCTGCGCGAGGGCATTTTGAGCAACCTTGAATTTTTTTATTGCCTCGACAAGGGGCTTATATGGATGTAGCACATTGAGATCAAATCCAAGGGTTGCCAGAACTACTCTCTCACCAAGCAAAATTAGTTCTTTCTGTTGTTCGTATATATCCTACACCAACGATACTGAAGTGTCAAAAAAATAAACTTAAGGGAACACTAGTATGTCAAGAGATTCATAATCTCCCAAAAGGCCAACCCAGAGAATAAACCGCTAACAATAGATATACCTTTTGCTTGATCCTTTGCACTGCTTCAGGATCCTTCTTGTGAATTATTTCATAAGATACAAGTATTACATCCTTTAAAGGGCGAGGAGTTTCTTCAACTTTTCCAGCAAGAAACATACAGACAGTGGCTATAGTCTACATTCACACCCAAAACAAAAGGAAAAAGAAGAGTCAAAACCTCGGTTAGAAAGTCAATCAGATCATTCAAAGAACAAACTACAACTCGCACCTTGGTCTATTATCCCACATACTTCCATTTAAGTATTTATCATAATTCATACAGGAAGCATGGAAATCTCATAACCCTTTTTTCTTTCCCAAGCTATTTTTTCCAAAGCTATTCACTCGAACTAAAAGCATATATCCAACAGTACTTGAAGATGATGAAGAAGAGAAATAAAAACATCTTCTTCAACATCCTTGCGATGCCTACAGCATCGTGGGTGCATAAAGACAGGTCCATACAAACTGCAACATGAACCAGCTTCTAATTCCCAAAAAGCAAAAAGCAACTTGAAAATCTCCTCATTCAAAATTAAAAGCACACCAAAGCAAAAGTTCGCAAACTGAACAATATTGACTAACCCCCCTCGCTCATGGTAGGCACCTCGATGGGTGGGAGAGCTGGCCTAACAATTTAAGGTTGTACAAATAGAATACCTTAAACTCTGCATACACATAACATCTTATAATCTTTTGAAAATAAATTAGTTCCATTAGCTCTAATATCAATGTCTTATTCTAGCTAGACGAGGGCATAAATGCCATTTGTAAAGCCTAAATTTGTAAGGGAGGTACAGCCTTATTCATGCATACCAAAATAAAAGCAGCGACTACTTGTGCACCATAATCAGATTGTGAATCAAAGTACAGACCAAGTTTAACGGCATCTTTTGGCATTATAGAGAATCAAATTCTGACAACTCCCTAATTCTCAGTCCTTATATGTATTTTTCAAAGAGAATAACAGACTCTCAAAGCTTCCCAACAAGGGGGGAGAACACACGGGGATGACAAATTACTTACGATCAGAATTAAATTTATAAGTTATCATCTTTAAATTACATTACTAATCCCTCTATTCCTTAAAACTATAGTTTAGTTTTTTTATTAAACTAAAGAGGTTCAATATTCATGTATTTCAGTGGGCCAGATAGATTAGTCATTTTACGGATTAGTAACTCAAGGGGAAAGCAGAAATTGTGTCCAATAGAAGACAATGATATGATATCTCAATCTTTTAATAGCTGAATTCCGACATTTAGGGGGTTTACTTTAGAGTTAATCATTCTTATCGTTCCAGGCAACACGTATTTCTATCCACTGCAAACCACAACGCCTTATTAGTCTCAGTATGCATTTACACACCTGACAAGTGTTCTAATCTTATTTTTCATTCATTCAAAATATTGGCATGAAGCTTTAGTAAATGATTTTGGAAACCCAATTATGATTACCTTCATAAAAAACCCCCAACGTTATGCACCTAAATGCCTTAAATGTGTTTGTATACAGATTCAATTACTTCAAACCATGGAATTTATAACCAAAAGGTACTATCTTATCTTAATACTGCCAGTTTCAAAAGCATCTACCTTTCCTACCATTTTGTCAAAATAAAAGGGAGGAGCAAAATTGATACCAACTAAAGAAATGGGAAGAAATCAAAACTTACTCTTCTGTCATTTTTTGAATGTGACTGGCGAAGGAAGAACCGATGACAAAAAATTATTGCCGTTGCAATTGTTACTTGAGGGCTGCAGAAATTCAAAGGATTCAAGAATCAGTCAGCTGAAAATTAATCATACAATAACATTCGAGAAATTATAGCATAACCATGAAGCAGACAATGACAACAGAGCCATGATTCTCATAGGAATGATAGAGCTATCAGGGCAAACAGAAGGCGCCAGGCAAGGACTCTATCTTAATCCTTGAAATAAGTATGAACATTAAATAACGAGTATAAGGTAATTTCAGCTACGGAGGTAAAAAAACATTCTAGTATAGATAACAACAGCTTCAGATTAATTGTCAGACCCCTCATAATACATATATTGTCCAGACAAACAAGAGGTAAAGAAAAGAACCCCAAAAATATGACTCAGACACTTAAATTTGAGCAATGCATTCATGAACTGCCCAAATAAACCACCAAATTCACTGCCAACTGACTTCACAGTTGAGTACATCAGGATTTTATACTTTCCGCACAAAGAAATCAGGCCTAAAACGTAAGCTTCTTGCCCCATATTGGACCAACACAAAAGATTAGACACGGAAGTCACAAAACTTTGAATGTGTTTCAGTTTTTGTAATTTCCTGTTATGTTTTATCTCGAATTTAAGCCAGCTTATACACCTTTTCAGTTTTTCAAGCAATTCACATTTCTAATGCATCGAAAACTTAAAACAGAATCACAATCGAAACACAAACTTCACAGGAAGCTTCCTTTAAAACCGCCTTTGCTGCATATCCCCAGTCCAATTGCAAATTTCTTAACCTATTTTCAGGAGTCAACTTAATAAATACTTCCGATACATAAACTTAAGATGCACAAACTTTTCATCAGGAGTGGAAAAACTTAAGAGACATGTTTATCAAGAAAAAAATAAGACGCATAACTTTCCATCAGAAACAGTGGAAGATCAAGCAGGCAAAGAGTAAAAGTGATGCAGGAACATTATCATAAATCCATATTGGTGTTGGAAAAGTTTAAGATTTTGTCTCCTTATGTTACAAGTCTTTTATTTAAGACGTCAGTTCCAGTCCTTGATTTTAGGAAGTTAGTAAACATACATATTAGGATGAAGAGTAATCGGAACCCCTCTATAAAAAGAGAAATTTTGCAGCTTTGATACACATTTTTTTATTTATATAATTTTAAAGCTGTTCAGGCTTCCAAAAACTCTGGCTTTCTTAAATCCCAACAGCTAGGGCTTGCATATCCGGATAACTTGAAATTCAGTCAGCCAATTTCCATCAAAAAGTTAAGTGTCAAGTGGAAACCCCATTACATAGACTAAACAATAAGCACATTTTGATGCTAACCACTTTTTTCTTTTTTTCCGTAACGCCAGAACAGCCCCCCAACCCACCCCCCGGACGGGTAAACCCACGCCCACTGCTATAGGGTGCACATTTTGATGCTGACAACTTTTATTGTTACGATACACAAAAAGTATATGGTATCTTAACCGCTCATTCTATATATTCTACAGTCAGACTAAAGAAACTATTGAAGTTAATCACAATCTTTTTCTGCCACCCATCTTAATAATATCAGAAGTTCAGGGCACCTAAATTTCAATCAATTATGGCAGCTGCAATAAAAAAGATTGAATGACACTTTCCAGTTTGATCATCAAGGATCGACGTAGATAGTGCTTCCTCTTAAGTAGCTAGGGAAGTGCTGCTACCCCAATGAATGCAACATACATGTAAAGCTATTTTGACTACAACATATATTTTGGTAGAAACCAGAACTACAGCACCACCATGTAATAACATATCAAATTTAGTAAACCATGACATTGAAGTTCGTTCAAGTACATACATAGCTTACTCTTCCAACCCATGCCTAGCCAATTTAAATTAACCTCAGTCAACTTTAGGAGGGAGGGAAAAGAGAAGCAACAAAAAATCACTATCCGTATTTTCTATTACACGATAGCAATCATTCCAGGACCTCATGCATATTTATACCACCAAATATTTTGCTGGGTATGAGAACTCCTAAAGAAGTTCTTTTTCATTTTACATTCGTGCTAAAAGAACATGCTGGTAAAGCTTCTGCCTGTATTCCAAGGGTAAAAGAGTTCCAGATTAGAAATAAATTGCTAACGAAAATCTTAATTGCTAATATAAAGGGATTTAATGACTTGTGTTATTACAAAATAGATCATACATCATGATATTTTAATCAATATTACATACCAAACATTTAAGAAAGCCTTTCCAAATCTGTGTAAAGCCTTGCAAAGAAATGGTAAGGCTTCTATCAAGAGTGTCTGACACAACACATCAACAGCTGAGACTAATCCTGAATATTAGAAGATATCAAACCTCCCATAGCAATTTATTTAAGTCCCTTCTCCCCCACTACCTAACCCAGATAATTGGCACATATCAGGATCCAAATAATAAAGAAACAAGCCAACTCGCTCAAGAATCTTGCCCAACTACCCTAGTCATTGGAGCCATTTATAAATCAATTGTTGTAGAAGAGAGAAAACATAAAGAAGCCCCAAAGGTCTTCAATTTCTCTAGATTAATTCAGACATGTGAGCACATGGTCTAGTTCAATTTAACATCTGACACAGGCTTCGACTTGAAGATGTACTCACCATCAAACAGAACTAACAGCGTACAATGATGTTTTAGGTAGTTCATAGCTAAAATCATAATGAAGCATTCCTCAAAAAGCACCACAACATAAACATAAATGATTTAAGGTTAACTAAGCCAGGACATAGTCATAAGAAGTTAAAAGCAACTTGGGACCATGGCATACATTTTATAGTAAAGTACAATCCATGCCAAGTAGTTACGAACACACTTTAACATCAGACACAATGCAGAGATGATTTCAAAAAGTTAACATCATTTGACATTAAGAACGACCCTTTCCCAATTATAAGTAATTCTAGAGAAAGAGGAACGAAACCAATAGCAAGAAGAAAAGCTTACACTTTAAGCCTCATCCCTAGATCCTGCAAGAATGTACAATATGACTTGCGCAAATAAGTCTCTTTCTTCAAATCGATTCCATCTCGTCTAGAGGGAGAATTTTCTTCAATTTCTTTCCTAGAAAAATACCATCTACCACCACCTTCTTCTGGCTTCTCCTGAGAGCCTTTAGGAGCTCCGGATTCAAAAACTCCATGGAGAGAGGTATCACCGGTTAACAAACCAGCCATTTACACCCCTCCTTTCTCTCCTCAAATACAGGATGACCTGTTTGCCTGGACAAAAAATACAGAATGCCAAGCAGTTATGTGTTTCAAAGTTCACGGATTATGAAACTATATTCAAATAAACAACTATGTTATAACCCTAAGGTCACAGATGTTAACGCTGGCGTAAATAAGAACACATGTCAATACGATCATAAAGTAAGTTTGGTAAGTACAAAAACTCCGCAATACTGAAAAATTAACTTGTTCAAAACAGACAAAAATATTGTTTGAGTCAAGCAGGGGTATGTTGTATGCGGTAACAAGATCACATATGCTCAAAAAGGTAAAGTCACTATCCAATTTTTCTTTCTCTCTCTCTCTCTCTCTCTTTCTCAAATCTCAGGGGAAAATATAAACATATGAAATGGAGAGGAAGATGTGAAATCATGAGGAAGATGTGAAATGGAGAGGGGTAAACTGCAGCACTGCAGCAATAGCATTTTAAGGATGGAAAATTATTTCAAAGACAGGAATGAGCATGGTCAGAAGCAAAATTTTGCTCACACCTGTCAATAAATAAGCATGTTTTAAGAGAAAATCATGTAAAACCAAAGAGACTTTTCAACGGCTGCACCATATGCTTTTAGGACGATCACAAATTTCAGTTTAGAATTAGACACAAATCTCACAATATTTAAGCAAGTAGGAGCACATCTGTAAGCATTTTGGGGGATTCTGATCAATTTCTGAAGACTAGTGTTTATCGTCTTCAACTTTGCTGATTTTAATAGCATAACTCACACATTCCAATAAATAAGCCAAAAAAATATTTTCAAGTAAAGAAGAATACCATGAGAAAATACAGTCCAAATCACATAAAATAGAAAAGTGCAATGAGCAAGCATATGAAAATTTTATCCACCCACTCTTCAACTAAATTCATCATTCTCAAGCTCTTCTCTTTCTTTGCCCTAAAAACGGCATTTTTAGATTAAATAGACATCAACAGTCTCCCAAATCCATCTTCTAAATAAGCCCCCTCAAATCTTTTGCCAGGAAAAAAAAGAATTATACAATCACTAAAAGAGAATACGAAGTAGGCAGTTGACCCTCCAACTTAAGCTATAAACAACACTCTGCAAGTAAAGCCCTTTTCCTCTTTTGCCTAAAAGTTCCAAATTTTCAAGGAAGAAAATCTCAACACCACAAGATTTACTACACAACACAGCAAAACCCTGAATCCTATCCCTAATAATGACCACTTAATCAAAGCCGCAAGCTTTGAGCAAAGAAAGAAACCATAATGGCAAACTTACAGGAGGCTTATTCAGGCGGCCGAATAATACGACACGAACCAATTGTGAAAGCAAATTAAGGTAACTCTTTACATCGATTCCACTACAAACACTGATTTTGCAATAACCCTTTTTGCCTTTAGTCACAAATAACATTATAAAAAGTTAAACCACTCCCATTCCTTTGCCCTAAAAAATTAGCCAACAAGAAATCGATACCCAGGAACCAGTCTATATAATCACCACCCATCTAAGGTGTAAGAAACAAACTAAACCCACTCCACCAAAAGCTTTAACCCAGCTGAAAACAGAAAAGGGCTAGCTCTCCCGGGTGTAGTATTACGAAGCTGACGCTGTGCCCTAATTTCACAAAACCAATAGCAAAAATAATCAGACAATTACCTGGCAAAGAGAGATAACTCGTTCGGCTGGTTTGCCAATCCAAACCCAGATAGAATCCGGGACACCCTTCTTCCGGTGGCGGCGGTTGACAGCAAAGCGAATCGAGGGCGGGACAGAGAAGGACGACGGATGAATGGGATGCAGTGCCCTCTTCGGGCCCAGAAACAAAATTGAAAACAAGAATGCTGAGAGAACCCTAGAAGGAGAAGATGAGAAGGAACCCGAATGAGTCCGTGGATGAGTGAGTGAAGAAGAATTGACAATGGCGGAAGCAGTGTGTGTATGTGTGTGAAGGAGAAGGCCCAAAAGAAAAGAAAGGGTAGAGGAAAGAAGAAGAGATATATTTCCTCCGTTGCAAAGAGAAGAATAGTGTCGTTTTGACGAGAGAGAAATTTAAGGAAATGTCCAAATTTTGATTATCAAGCAATTCGTTATTATTATTTGACTGAACTGCATAATTGGTCCCTCACATTTGACTAAATTCAAATTTTCGTCCCATGTGGCAATATCAATATGTAAGTATATGAAGTGAGAACACTGCCTATAAAATCCAAAAAATAATATTAATGATAAATTTAAAAAGCTTCAAAATAATAAAAAATTTAAAAAATCAATGTTTCACTTTTCACTTTTTCTATTCGAATAAGTTTTCAGAAACACAGTAAAACAAATAAATTCTCTCCTTATTTTTCTATATTCTCTTCCTCTTTCCATTCTTCTCTATCGTCAATTCTCTAGTTGTCAATACATAATCTTCCCTCCTCATCTTGATATTTGAATGTCCACAAATCTAATGAATTGAGTTAATGTCTTTGTCGTCGGCGCCCCAAATTCTATTTTCTATAAATTTTTTTCTTCTCATGCAATCATCTATAGATTTGAAGAATTCGGTGGATGCCTTCCAAGTTGCTGGCAGCTGTGGAAAATTCTTAAAATTAAATGAGTCGAGTGAGTGAGTTTGTTGGCGATGGTGGGAGAGTGGTGAGTGTTAGAATGGAGTGGAGGTTGTTGGCTGTAGCGGCGGCTATAGGAGGTTTTGACGATTAGAAGGGGTTTCAATTCCTGAAATCTTTTTGAGATTGTTAATTTTATGATGTTTGACACATTAGATTTGATTGGAATCGAAAAATTGAACAAATATATAGACTAGGATCGAGAGCCACCTTGAGGAGTTCATCTTGGCCATAAAGTTGGCCATAAAATTGTTTTAATTTGGGACTGCATAAGGTAGAGTGCCACCTTGAGGAGTTTGGCTTGAGACGAGGAGAGATAAAAGGTGCTTTCGAGTCCTAGGGTAGATCCTCCCCGGCGGGTGAGTCAGAGGGATGATTTGGGAGGTGGGACTCGGGTTGAGCATTAATTTGAGGCTCCCATTAGATGAGAGTTTCTTTGACAACTAAATAAATTTAGATATGCGTATGGAAATTGATAGAAATTAATATAGAAGAAAAAAAAACCTTGAATCTTTTTAGCATAGCAAAAAGGGGAGGAATTTTACTGAGCCGTGGTGAAAAATGAAAGATAAAATTAAAAATTAAAATTTGAAACTTTAAAAATTTTAATTAATTTTTAATTTATTTAATATTTATTGCTATTAAAAACATATTTTCCATTTTGTTATTATTAAAATAGTCTGTATTTTTCACCTATAATATAAAGACGTGTGTTTTTGGGTGAAAAAGACCGTAAATACACTTAACGGTGGCAATAGAAGCTATGGGATTAGGGCGGATGAAGAGTGTAAATAACATAAATATTCATGGACTTTTCAGTCAGATAACAGTCAAATGACCGTAAATGCCCTTAACTGTAGCATCAACTCGTTTTGAATTCTGCCCGTTTTGGTGGTAAATAGTACCTCTTCCGCGAAAATTTTTGTCTAATCATGTCTTGTCTTGTCTTTTTCTTTTATTTTCTTTTTTTTCAAGGACGATATTCATTTCTAATATAAAAAAAGAACAAAGATAATTACAATGAACTATTGCAATCGGGCTTAAAAGTCTCATCTAGCCACAAAGGAACAACTATTCTAAAATTGTGTACATTTGCTAGATAGAGCTAACTTAGCCAAATTGCGGCAACTAGAGTTCGATTGTTTTCTGATAAATAGAAATCTACAATGTACAAAATATTCCTTCAGTAAAAAGATGTCTTCAACTATGGTTGCAACCTCTGAAACAAGGTTAGAACGCCCTTATAACTAAGTAAAGCCGGTGAGCAACCTCGGGAAGCCCCCACTTGGCTTCTCCGCACTTTTGCTAGTTGTTTTCGCAAGCCCCCCGATGACATTTCTTCTCAGCGTCGTTAATCAAGCCGGTTTCCTTCATTAATGGAATGCCGATCCTAGAGTACGAAGATGATGAATATGAGCGTTTAATTGCTTCTCATCAGATGAGTTTGGTTTGCAAGTTTGCATACGGAAGACCGAAAATGGAGGAAATACACAAGAAATTCAAGAAAATTGGATTCAATGGAGCCTACACTTTAGTGTTGATGAACCCTAGGCACATTTTGATTCGGTTTGAACGCGAAGACGACTATCAACATTGTTGGATGCGTACTTTTTGGAATGTAGCCGAATTTTCCATGAGAATTCTCAAGTGGAAACTGTAATTCAAGTTTGAAGAGGATCCACCAATAGTACCAATTTGGGTTTCGCTTTGTGACCTCCCAATTGAATTCTTAAACCAGGAGATTATCTTCTCCATGGCTACAACGATTGGAAAGCGGTTGAAGGTTGATTCCCCCACATTGAGCATGACTCGTCCATTGCTGGCTAGGTTTTGTGTGGAGGTTGATTTGACAAAAGAGCTCTCTAAATCCATCAAAATTGGCAAAAGGGGAAGGAAATATGAGCAATTATTTATGTATGAATATGTCCCCTTCTATTGTTCTAAATGCTTCAAGATTGGTCACAAAGTAAAGGATTAGAAGAAGGTTTGCCAATGAAGAAGGTGGCGAAGGGCAAACAACAATTGGATGAGCGTGGAATGAAGCAAATGAAACCCTCGCAGCCATCGCAAGTCGTACCCCTGCGAGCTAGGGTTTCTGAGAAGACTTTGGATAATGGAAATGAGAAATGGAAAGTTGTTGCAGTTGGGTCATCATCAGGCTTGACTGAGAAGGAGAAGGCAGCTACAGTTGTTGATGTTCGTGATCCCCCCCCCCAAAAGAAAGCTCAATCCCGAAGTCGCAGCACGTTGACCTTGCGGAAACCCTAGTCGCAGGCTGTGAAACTCAGACCTGCGGAAACCCTAATTCTGCGAGCTGCGATGCTAGCTTGGATGTCACGATAATAGCGCAACCTGAGCAGGAGGACCATGG